CCGTGAATAAGCCTTGTGTGTTTGATTTTCTTTAGTTAATTTGGAATCAATATTAAAGGAGTTTGATCTAATCCACACTTCTCTGGTTTCCCCATAAGAATTTGTGGTGTAACGGATCAAGTATCTTTCTAAAGACAAGATACAATGCTGTCTACTTCATTTCCTTTATGCCCTAAGCTTTTTCTTCTTTTATAAGAATAAAAAGAGATACATTTACGGTTATTCTTGGACAAGTTTGGGGTGCATTTTTAGGACAATATAGAAACATTTAATCTTTACTTGAATCATAATTTTAGGCATTAGTATTGGGGCAATACTTATTGTTATGTTAAAAATATCTTCTAAATTAGAAGATAAACTGTCTGCTACTGTTCTTAAGGTTGACTAACTAAGATGTTATGCAGTACTGACTAAGGCTTCATCTGCATAGGGACTCAAAATAAAATGTTAAAGAAAAGTGGAATGGGAGCATTGCTATTTAAATGGCTGAGTTATTTTCACACTACAGAGTCAATTGGAAAATTCCTCTGCTCTTGAAAAATGTGTATTGGTAAACATGATGATAAAACATAAGCTCTGGTACGACATATATTAATGAAATAAAACTTGTACAAGAGGTGACCTGTGCAAAATGCCTCATTCGTCTTATTTCCTCCTCTGTCCTCAAGGGCCTAGAACAGTGATCATATGAAGAGTGCTCAGTATGTTGAATGATGAATGAATGAATCAATGATTGTAGAGTTCTAGCCTAAAACTCTTCCTCCATCCTTTAAGATCAAACTGTTATTCTTTTAGATTAGAACTCATATGGGGAGAGCAATATGAAGAGTTATCTTTCTATACAGAGATATATCGAAATGGTTTTAAGAAAGAGGGTTCAAAAAATTAGCAAAATACAGGTTTTTATCCATGTTATATTTATTTCCCAGTTTTGAGCACAGGTTTTTCCCATGATAGACATTAGAATCTTGACTGCAATAGCCAAGTAAGATGCTCTTCAGCTAGAAAGAGGCATTTATTCATCTAGCCATTAACTACTTCAAAAACATTTAGAAATACTTATATTCTTACAATATCTAGGGGCCTTTTAAAATGGTTACTTCATACAGACAAAGAAGAAAACTTTTAATCTATTGGATGAAAACTCCATACAGTTTACTACATGATTAACTTAAGCATAATTATGTTCACAAATTATAAATAATATTTACAGATGTGACATTAATTTTCAATTCCTTTGTGTTATCTTAAAAGACAACAGAGTCATTCTCCATTTATATTATACTCTTAATATGTCTAGTCTAAGTGGAACTTGCTAAACCTATAGTAATGTGAAATATATCAGCTTAAGAAAATAAATTTAATGTGTTACTGTAACCCGCCCCTCCTTTGGAGGAACTTTAAACATACCTTTTGTTTCTGTGCGGTTATAGTCCTTTTGGGCGTGACCCACTTATTTCAAGGAGGACCTTGAAGCATACTTTAATAAATCTTACTTTTCCTAAATCTCGTGATCTTATCGATAATTCTTTGCTGAGCTGGCCAAAAGAACCAAGGGACCCCTTAGTACTTCTGGGGTAACGACGGATTTTAGATCTCCCCAATGGTAATGTTACCACATCCTGAACATAAGGATATGACATATTTTTATGTCATAATTTTCTTTCTTGGACCAACATTTTATAAATTCTCTTGAACCATTTGTTCCTTACAGTAACCTTGACTAGTAATAGGAACAATAAAATTACACCCATTTTATAGATAAGGAAACGGAGGATGCAGGGATGAATTGGCTATTCATAATCACATATTGAGTTATAAACAAAAATGTGGACAAAAGCCCAGGGTGTGTTTATCATTGATCTATTACTCCTGTGGCACAGGTTTTCTAGATGTTGCTCTTAGTGACTTTATAGTTAGAATTTGTTTAAGTACTTGGTGCTTTATCTTAAACCAATTGTTAGTTTGTCCCTGTTTTTCTTTACTGCAAAGAGTAGGGGCACCTAAAACTTGAACTCACCTAATTAATTTGTAAAATCAGTAGATAAAAATTAATCAACTCTTCAAACAATTTCATGTAATAAATTAAAAGATGGCTTAATTGAATTTACCAACTACATTTCATTACATTTAAAGTCTTCTAGATATTATTTTTTGACATGTTGTTATAATTTTTATAAAGCCTTCAAGATTTCTACTGGGCATTAATCATCCCTAAACAGATTTCTCTGAGAAGTTATTTTTATTAATGAATTTGTTTAGAACAAATGTGATAACATTTTGATTTGAGAAAATTATTCCAAGTTATTCATTTTTGAGAAGAATATATAGAAATTTAACTTTAAATAGTCATATATTTAAAGAATCTTATACATATTAATTATTAATAAATTAGTAAATCATTAGGGGAATTTTTTAAAAATTAAAAATGTATTTTTTAAGTTCCCCCTCCTTATTTCTATTTCTATTTTTATTTTCAGCTCCAGGTGCAATATTCGATTTACAGCTTGCAGAAGTAGAAGCCACACAAATAAGAATTACGTGGAAGAAACCACAACAACCAAATGGAATCATTAACCAATACCGAGTAAAAGTGCTAGTTTCAGAGACAGGAGTAATTTTGGAAAACACTTTGCTCACAGGAAAAGATGAGGTATTGCACTTTCATTTTACATCATGGTGAGCCCTTTCTATTTGGTTCTGGCACTGATAACTTGGAAGATTTGCCAGCACTCTGACATAAAATATTTGACAAGGTTTATAGTAGAATATAAAGTAAATTTGGGCCATGTTGATAATCTAGCTGAATCATATCTCATTTTTGGACATATATTATTAGTTAAGTGCTATTATTCTTTTTCAGCATATGGAAAATGTTAATTGAACAATTAAGCAGGACGAAAGGTACTTCCTTAAGGGAATATTATTATGGTAATTCAGTTAATGAATTGTTTGGAAACTCCTATTATGATTTAAATACTTCTAAGGTTGTGCTTGCAATTTGAAACAGTTGCCAATAAAAGTCACAGTAATTTGAGCAGCTGATGACAAATGATTATATCTGTTTAGTCTTAGGAAGCTGAATTTCTCAGAGCTGCCTTATTAAAAAACAAACAGAGTGCATTTTATTAAAGAAATCAAATAACTAAATAAAAGAGATTAAAAAATTCCATAGATATAAAATAAGAGGACAGTGTTTTGCTTCTATTCACACTAGAAGTCTTATTTTTTCCCTTTGTTTCTGTTAGGAAGTACAGGCAACACTGATTTCCCTTTACTGTTTTTATTCACCTCGCCCAGCCAGCTGTTCACCTGGGAGGACCCCTAAGCCTCCACACTTGTCAAATCCAGTTGTTGGCTGCTTCTTGGGCACACAAAGAATAAACATACTTAGAACCAGTGAATACAGCTGAAGGACTAGCTTGGAGGCACTACCAGTGATGGTTATTCAGCAATTGGCTTCCACTGTTATGGTTCAAAATCAGTGCTTCTTCTAATTGTGCTGTTATTTTTCACACGTGTATTGTTCACTCTCTTTCTGGTCCCAGCCTTCCTCTATTTCTGGTGTCTATTTGAAAGTTGGCCTTACAATGTGCTCAATGCACTCTGGCCACTCAGGTCTTAGTATTCCAAGTTGTTCATCATCTCTGTACTAGGGCTAAATTTTAATCCTATGTTGACTCCTTTCTTCTGTGCAAAAGATACTGAGTTATGCTTTCTCTGAAATTCAGGCAAAGGGCAAAAGCTTAACCCTTTTGCTCCCGCTGAGAGGTCAAATTAGATACTTAGCTTTTTTAGGCCTAGGTGACAGGGCCTAAAATTCTATAGCCTAGGTGACAAGGCCTAAAATTCTCCCACTTCTGCTAATGACACGTATTGAATGGCCAGACACACCTGTTTTTCTCTTGAAGTGAAGAGGTTCTAGAAAGGCTTCTTTGTGATTCTGCCTCTGTCTGTATGATCTTCAATCCCTGTGCCATAGTACAAAGAACATGAGGTTTGGATCTGTATAAATCTGGGTTTATATCCGTATTTGATCACTTACTGGGCTGTGCAAAGCATGGAACTAAGAAGCATGATGCTTGGTTTAAATCTTGGTTCGGCCTGTACTGATGATTTAACCTTGGGGAAGTTGGCCCAACATCTCTTAACTTCAGTTTCCTCTTCTTTAAGATAAGGATTATAAGAGTTCCTGAAACAAATAGTTGATAAAGAGGATTTAATGGATTAATGTGTGTAAAGAACTGAGAACTGTATGTGGCATGTAGTAAGTGCTATGATAAATAATCGTGACCTGTTATGATTATTAATCACGGCATTTGACCATTCACCTTGGTTGGCACTCAATATTAGTTTCCTTATCCTCTCTCAAATAAAGGAAACATACTTCGATCTATTTTTGTGACAGTATCTTTCTTTATTAGATCAGGCCCATAATTGATATTTCTGTTTCCTCATGTGACTGGTGTTTGGGCTCACCTATCAGGTGGTTGATGTGGGGAGACAGGTATGGGAGAGGCTCTAAAACCAAATGAACAAGAGTCCTAGCCCTGGCTCTGCACTGTTCTAGCTATATGACCTCGGACAAGTCAACTTTTGGATACTTGGTACCTTCATTTTTTAAGTGGGGCTTATATACACCCACCTTACAAAGTACAGATTACATGAGATGACAGATAAAGCCTCTGGCTTAGTGTATTCATTTATTATCCTTTTCCTTGACCTTGGTACCTTTCATAGGATAAGGACTTTTTCCTTCCATTCATTCTTAAACTTCTCTAAGTATAGCCTTCACACTCTGTCTCAAGAATTCTTTAAATCCTTGAAATCTTGTTAGAAGTCACCAATGACTTCCTAAGTATCAAATAAGTGGTTACATACTCAGTGTTTTGGCAGGTTTCATTTCCTTTTGGCTATGTAATTGAGGGCCTAGTTTCTTGCTAGCTCTTGACTGGAGACAACCCTAATGGTAGCTCATGGAGCTCTGGCACAGCTTCTTTCCACATGGACTTTTTCAAAATGGCCATTGATTTCATCAAGCCAGCAAAGAGTCTGTGAAATGTAATCATAGGAGTGACATATCATCACCTTTGCCTTATTTTATTGGTTAGATACAAACCACAGATCCCGCCCAGTTCAAGACAATGTGATTATACAGGACCATGAACAATAGGGGGTAGGGATTATGGGGGACCACCTGAGAGGCAATCCTCCACACTCTCTCGGTGTACTATTCTATATTTCACATACCGATTACAATAATTTTTCCAGCTTAAACGTATTATTTAAGTTAATAAAAGTAGTCAAATAAGAATTAAGAATAGTTGGGGAACGTATATCTGTATCTACTTAAGTGATCTAACGCTTCACTATCAAAGTAGGAAGTCCATAGATTTGTGTAAAATAAGTGAGTCTTAATAGCATGTTATTTAGTAATTTTAGGAGTATACACCATAAAAACTGAAAACAGAAGTGATCAGGAAAGTATGGACAGAGATTTTCATTGTAAATTCTTCATCACTTCTTGATTTTTGTTATAGCCATATGCATACATGATAACGGCCATGCTACCCTGAACAAGCCCGATCCTGTCTGATCTCTGAAGCTAAGCAGGGTCGGGCCTGGTTAGCACTTAGATGGGAGACCACCTAGGAAGACCAGATGCTGTAGGCGTGAAAAATAAAAAAATAAGGGATTTTAACTGACAAGGTCCTTGCAATCTGTGAGGTCAACCAAGGGTTGCCTTGCCTAAAAAAATAAATAAATAAAAATAAAAACTTAAAAAGAAAATAGAATCAAGCCTCAAGGATTTGTTCGCCCAAATAATGTACAGAATGATAGTTATTTGTTAGGAGGTTTCCAAACATATGCTAATTTCAAACTTTTTTTTAATCATTGTTTGATGATATCATAAATTATATTATGATCTATAGTAATATATAGAAGCATTTCTTAAGAAAAAACAAAAATTTTTATTAATTCAATTCAGCATATTTCAAATGACTCTAAATTGGTAGACATAATAGGGTTTGTTTTAAATAAAATCAGATTGACTATAATAAAGATTATTACATATAGAATAAAGTTGGTTTATTCAGGTGGATTAGGAATTCAACTCTAATTCTTTCACATAAATTCCAAAGATTCCTGGGTAGTTTATGAGAGGCCTTTTATGTTGATGTACTGTGACATTCCCAGACCCAATTATTGTCAAATAGGAGTGATTTTGTTCTCTAGGAGCAAATTTGGAAGTTTTGGAAGACATTTTTCAAATGTCACAGCTGGGAGGATGCTTCTAGTGGGTAGAGGCCAGGGATGCTACTAAACTTCCCATAGTGTATACAACAGCTCCCTACAACAAAAAAATTACCTGACCCCGAATACCAGTAGTGCTGAGGGTGAGAACTCTGGACCAACTCAATGAAGCTAAAGCTTTTGGAATTTGCAGCAGGCCTTTTTCCCCTTGTGTTTTCTTTATTTCCACTTCTGCTTCTCATTGCCCTTTCCCGTTACTCCTTCAAATTCTGATTCTTTCACATCATTTTGCTCTTAAGATTCTTTTCTTTTTCATTCTTTAAAAAACCTGACTAATATCTAATGCTTTCTTTAGAGAAGCAAAGTATGAGAAATATCGCGACATGACACACTCGGTGATAATTAGTAACATTATGGGTTATTACAAAACCACTGCTCAAATCATTGCCTGAGTTAGGGAGTGTCTTTCCAATGAATACCAGAATTTGAGAGAATTTCAGAAGTATTTGTGTCAGTTTTTACATTGAAATGGCAATATGTCAACAGAGATGCTTAACTTTGTTAATTGATGGGATACTATGGTTTACTCTAAATAATTTATCTGACATGGGTATAAGATATTGAGAGACTTAAAGCAAAATCATAGTTCTTTGTACTACCTCATTGTACCTTCTATAGTGGTTTGTGCATAGCAGATTTTCAGAGTGGCTGATTGATAGTGGAAACAGCTGTGTGGTTCAGGCATAAACTATTGACTGAAATACCAGAGCATCTCTGAATTATGTGTCTGTGATTCATGCCCTCCACTATTTCCCTGTGGAGGCAGAGCTGAGATGAGCTGTTGGAAGCTCATCTCCAGAGTTCCCTCTCCAGAGTTCTTTATCACAATTTTTTTAGAGTAAATCTTATAGGTGTCCTCCTGCTTTTCATCACAATAATTTTCTGGCTGAAGGTGTAACAAGATAGATAACTTTATTTCAAAAATATTATTTGGAGGGTTGGAAATTCTCTTAAATTTGTTTTTTATTCTTTTATGTCTGAGAAAAGGTAATATTTAAATGGCCTGTCTTTGTAGATAATTAAATAAGTAATCTGCCTTAAAATGTCTTGCCTTCCTGAGATTTTTCCTGAGCATCTACTATTTTTTTCAAAATACTATGTTTTTTATGTTAATAAAAATAAAAAACCTGCTTTTGACTCAAGAGTAAAGACAACTCCAAAACATGTAGGATAATTAAAAGACAGATATACCAAAAATTATAAATAGATAAAACCTATATTATGAATTAAAAATGTTTTGGAGGTGAATTTTGAAGCAGAACTTATAATGTTTTCTTTTTTTTTCAAAACTTTTATTTGGAAAATTTTGAACAGGCCTAAAAGTAGAGAAAAGAATATAATGGGCCCCCATTTACCCATCACCTAGGTTGAATAATTATCAACATTCTGCTGTTCTTGGCCTCAGCTGTCTGTGTTGTTGCTGCTGCTGAGGACATATTTTAAAATAGATTCCAGATTTCACATCATTTTGCTCCTATATGCCTAAGTAGGAATCTCTAAAAAACATGGACATTTTAATTTATTCAATAATTCCATTACCACAACTCACAAAATTACTAATATTGTCTTGATATCATCTAATACCTAGAACAAATTGAAATTTTCCTAATTATCTTCAAAGCCTATGTTGATGGTTATATTCTAATTAGAATCAAAGGCCACACATTGCACTTGGTCGTTAAGTCTTTTAAGGCAACATTTTCTTTAATTAATGTTTAACCCTATTTTTAAGGTTGACAATCTATGCAAAATGCCTAAAACTATTTGGCCAAAACACCCTTTTCTAATTTTATTTCAAGTAGCTATGCTGTGTGGAGAGAAGGGGAAGAGTCATCTTATTATTCCAACAAAAACCTCTAAATATTCATAATCTGCTCCTGATATTTTTACTTAAATATCTGCTACTTTAGTGAACTCAACATGTGTGAAGTACATTATGGGATCTGGGAACAATCACAGTTACTTAAAATATTCCTTAGGTCCAGAGCCTTGGATAGGTCTGCTATGAACTCTGTTTGAAAACTATTGCCATGCAATTTTGTTCACGTCTGTAACTTCACCAGATCATAGATAAACTATTATTAATATATATTAAGCAGTCATGCGGGCCTCTCACTCGTGGTATACAAACAAGGATGCATAGCAAAGCAAAACACATTTTAAATAAGGCAGTATGCCTAGAACACTTACTTACCTTTATGAAGGGAAGCAGTTAAAATATTTAGTCATGAAACCTTTGCGTGAGGATGTCTAATTTTATAAAAAGCAAAGTCAGAAACAAATATCTGCTTCTTTCCATGATATAGTATTGGTCTCTTAAGATATAGGAGTGATCACAGTATGTTACAATGGTAAAGGATTTTACTAGCTTCACAATGAAGTTTCGAAATGTAAAGGAGACAGTAGTCATGGAAATAATATCTTTTTTAAAAGCATGATCCAAAGTACTAGTTTCTTAAACTAATAATTGGGTGAAGTTATTATTAAGTATAATTATTACAACCAGTCTTCGTAAATAACTATTTATTTACAGTTTATAAGTGACTCCAGAGCTCCAGAAACTGTGAACGTAGTCAATGGCAGGTTGAGGGTGCAGCAGAGATATCGTCTGACCTGTACTCAATTGCTTCAGTTATGTATAACAGTTATCCACATAACAATTTTCCTGCAAGGAACAGAGCTGAAGACCAGCATTCAACAGTTGGTAGGTACAATTTTTATGTTCTGTGAAGTGTATTGAAACCACCAGTACGAGCTAGCACAGATATGAACCTTAGCTTAGAGTTCAACAAGATTATTAATGGTTCATGGGCTGGAGTCAGATTTTTTTTCTTCTTTAACTGTCAGATAACCTCATGCAGCAGATGGAAATGCCACACAAGCAGGAGCTGGCCCCTCCTAACCCATTTGACCTTCCTCCTAGAGAAAGTAGCACCCTAGAGTCTCTGGCCAAGCTGCATAGACAATCAGTTATTACAGTTGCCAAAGCAGGTGTGATGAGAAGGGATTAACATATCCTCAAATCATTTACAGGCTTCGCACTCTCTGCAGCTTTTGACTAATAGGTTTTCAAATGTCACTAAAGGTAAATAGGTCAGAAAGTTACAACTCTAGTGCATGTGGTGATAAACAGGTGTAGGTGACCCCAACGACGTGGTGATGTCATTAGTGTATACACTTGCTCTTCAGGTTCAACGGATCTTATTGTTTCTAAAGGGAGAATGTCACATATAGCAAAAGTAGTTGGTTGGACAACACAGATTTAAATTATCTCTCTGGTTTTTCTAAAAAGCTAAGTGAGAAGAATATTTTTTTCCTTGCATTTTCTCTGATTTTGTATTTGTCCCATTCCAAATTTAAATTAGGTTATTTATTTTTTTATGATAGACTCTATCAAAAATATCACATTATATTCAGTATATGTTTATTTCATTTACTGATTCATTTTTTCCTGTGCAAAGAAGACTGGGGACAACATTGCAAATTAAGAGGCCTGCAGTTTATGGTACTGATGTTTCCTTAAACACTTCAAGTTTGGCCTAATTGCTAATTAACATACTGAAAGCATAAGTTCTAAATAAATTTAAAAATCTAACATTATTTGAAATCCTTATTGAGACAGATTTATGTATCAGTTATCCAAACATGCTTGCTTTAAAATATTATTGGTTTTAGCAAAGGTGTGGCGAGTCTCATTTCTGTAACTTTCACATTATAACCTAGCATTGATTTATAGCATTTCAATTTGTTATTATTGCCTAGTCTGTCTTTTCAGAAAAAAATTCCTTGTTAGTCCCTTTTAGAAAGTTATATTTTTTCAAAACACTAACCTCATGTTCCAGAATAGTGTATAATAACTATCAAAATTATATTATGAGCAAAAATGTTTATAGATATTGGTGGGGAGTATTTGGCATACTATTATATATTTACCTTTCAAATAAAAGAGTGCATGGAAAGATTAATGCATAATGTGAAATCACGTTTAAGATTTCATTGTGTGTGGACAAAAATAATTTCAATCGTGAAATCAAACACCTTTTTTAAAGAACCTAATTTCAAATAGGAACTACATGGAACCAGTATATCACTGACGTTGCTGCTGAACAGCTGTCTTATGTTATCAGGAGACTTGTACCTTTCACTGAGCACATGATTAGTGTATCTGCTTTCACCATCATGGGAGAAGGACCACCAACGGTTCTCAATGTTAGGACACTTGAGCAAGGTAAGAATGTATTCCTTCGAAATAATTAACTGCAAGTATTGCTCTTGCACATTGTAATACTTTTTCTTTCCATTTATATTAATTGTTCATTCTTCTTTTCAAGTGCCAAGCTCCATTCAAATTATAAATTATAAAAATATTAGTTCTTCATCTATTTTGTTATATTGGGATCCTCCAGAATATCCCAATGGAAAAATAACTCATTATACAATTTATGTAATGGAACTGGATACAAACAGAGCATTCCAGATGACTACTATAGATAACAGCTTTCTCATAACAGGTAGAACAAAGTTGTTGTTGTTGTTTTTTAACATATCTATTCTGGTGGAAAACATGCATCTCTCTATGCCTTAAACTCTGATGGGCATGTACTTCATCATTCCAAGTTTTGTTGTGCTATGCTGCCATGGATATCTTGAAAACTATGTGAAGAAATAACCTGATTAAATGTGTTTTCCTTTTTATTTGTCTACAGATAATAAAGTCATCAGATCACAAGTATCATAGGAATATACCTAACCCAGGGAATTTTATGTCTAGTATATTGAAATAACTAAGTATTGAAGGCTTGAATGAATGAATGTGAAAATCAGCTGAAGTAAATCAGCTGGCATGGTGTTTGTGCTGAGTCATCTATACTCCAGTGTGCCAAAGATTATTTTTCAGGCTCAAATTATTGCCTTAATAATTTAGGAAAGAACTAAAACATCATTAAGATGGAAAGACCCTCAAATCCAAGGAATTTTGGGAGATGGGGATGATAAGGACACTGACTTGGGGAGCCAGTCTCCCAAATGAATTATTTTCACTATTCCTATGTCAATTGGCCCTAATCCAAGAGTGTTATTTTAAGGACTTTAAACAAATTGCCTGTTGTCCTTATAGGATTAAAGAAATATACAAAATATAAAATGAGAGTGGCTGCCTCAACCCATGTTGGAGAAAGTTTTTTGTCTGAAGAAAATGACATCTTTGTGAGAACTCCAGAAGATGGTAAGATGATCAGTTGCACTTTTAATAAAAAGAAGCAAATGGTGTTGCACGCTTATTGCCATCTACCTCATGCTGCCTTTAGTGTCTAGAGCCATAAGCATAAAAAAATACATGTATTTAAAATTTTCTTTTCTTCCCTCAGAACCAGAATCATCACCTCAAGATGTCGAAGTTATTAATGTGACAGCAAATGAAATAAGTTTGAAGTGGTTACCGCCTGAAAAATCTAATGGGATTATTGTTGTTTATGAAGTTCTCTATAAAAGTATAGATGCCTTATTTATGAAGAACACCTCAACAACAAGCATAATTTTGAGAGACTTAAAACCTTACACCCTCTATAACGTTTCTGTAAGATCATATACCAGATTGGGTCATGGCAATCAGCTATCTTCTCTACTCTCTGTAAGGACTTCTGAGACTGGTAAGTTTTTGTTTGTTTGTTTAATAATACATAGTAATGAAGTAAACATGGCTGGTAATTACCACATTTTATATTTTATTTAACCTAAAACCCTTCGTTATTCCATTTAATATAATCCAGGAATTTATTTGGTTTTTCTGGTAAAAGTATAGGAAGAGGCTTGCTGTGCTCATTTTTTAAAAGTCTGACTTTACATATAAGGGAAGTGCAAAATAAAAATAAGCAAAATTTTCAAATGAAAAAGACTTTTAGAAACCAAAGATTTTTTCAATGTGCCTGTAAATTTGAGGTTGAATAACTACTTACTTTCAAATTAGGTAAAATCAGAGACATGTAAGTATAGATTCCTATATTCTAAAGAGGTAGATGGGTAGATAAAAGTGTGGAGTAGGGGTACAGAAAGGGCGTGCATGGGGATGCCTTATGCAGGAGATAGGATTTGGACCTGATCATAAGGAGTCAGGTGGAATGGGCAGGAGGACCTTACAGAGGCTGTTGGGGGAGTGGGGACGGGGAGAATACCCCATCTAAAGGAAACAACGCAAGCAAAGAGTTACTTGTGTTTCAGTTTCAGGAATGCAAGAGCAAACAGCACAAAGTAATACATTTTGCCCAATGATTTTAGTTTATTGTTTTAATTGTGTTTATAATCATACATTGGAGCATCACTGTTAGGCTACTTATGTAATGTATGATGAGAATTGAGAACTAAATTTAAAGTGACTCTTTTATTCCTACATTTAGAAAAATACATATTTATTGACTACCTAATGGCTGAACCACATGGAATTTCTATTCCTATAGGTTATAATGGCCAAATATCAGCAACTTCATATGGCTTAGCCAGATACTATACACAAGGCCCTATCGCTGACCTTGAGGATCTAAGAGTCTAGTAAAGCAGCTTACCTTTGAGTGAAAATATCTTCTTGAGATTGGTCACAGAAATTAATAAAATGAGACGACACAAAAGAGCCCATAGAGAATGACATTGGTCGGAATTAAAGGAATAAGAGAGTGATAAAAAGAACATCTTTTACCATCAAGATTACCCTTTAAAGTGAAACCTAATTGATATTAAACTGTATATTGTCATGTTTCATTGCTTTTATAGATATTGTAGTTAAATAATGATTTTTGTGAAAAATATCTGCTCTTTACCTGACCTAATTTTATTCAATACTGGGTCAAGGAAAGAAACAAGCATGTTTTAAACACCTGCAAAGTGCCATGCATGGGCTCTGCTATTGGCTTTTACAAAACTGCCTTTTGACTTCTAGTATAAAGCAGTAAGGTGTTATTATCTTCATTACCTAATGAGACACTGAGATCTGACTTCATCTTTTCAACAAATGTTTACAATATTCCAAGCCCTACTGGGAATACAACACTGTAGAAGAAACTGAATTTCTACCTGCCTAAAGTTACTGTTAATTGGTGGGTGTTTAATTGCTTAAGGTCATCCAGCTGGACTTGGAATCCAAATTTATCTGCCCTAAAGCCCATTTCCTTTTACAATACATGATGTTTTGGAAACCATCAATAAAGCTGGTAAATTATAAAATATATCTAGCATCTTTCTGTTCATTGTTGTAGTTAGTGTTGTTCTTTGGGGCTCTGCAGAGCATGAGGAAGAAAAGTAAGAACTCTCAAAGATCTTGTTGTAATATTAAAGATTGTTTAATATGGTGATTACCATATTCATGAACACTTATCAGATGTTCCACTACTTAAGTGGTCTCAGCATCAAGAACGCCTAATCTTAATTGCTATCTGTAAAACAATCATTTTTTGCTTGCTATTTATTACATACATGCAATCTTTTACCTAGTATTTAAAAAATAAATTTGATTTTTTATTTATTTGTTGCATGAACTTAAGTCTAAGGTAGGGATAATAAGCCTTAAGTGAATATAAGAATCTAACTTGAAATGTAATTTAAAATGAGAACTTTAGTTTTGGAAAATCTCTTAGAAAACACACAAAATCCTTCATTTTATAGATGAGGAGACTTAGGAATATTTGAATAAAATGACTCAAAGAGCATCGTAGATGAGAAGTAATTTTGAGACTTGGTAAGCCTCCTGACACCATTCAAGTTTCCTGAGCCAGTGAGAAAAAAGAGAGAGAGAGAAGAGGGAAATAACTTATGCCAGGATTCACTAGCTCACTCACTTGGGTGAATATAATTGAGTCATTTTTACACTAGATTTTTCAGAAGCAAAAAGAGGCCTGATAATAGAGCATAGGCTGCAGTACTGAAACTCCTAATTTCAGCTCTCTGTCCTAAATTAGGATACTCTCAAAGTCTGCTCATTCTCCATCTGGATGGACACGGTAGACATTGGAATCTACATTAGTGATCTTTCCTAGATCATGTTTGCTACTATTGAGCCACCAATATAGCTCTTTTTGCAAAAGAGGAAGCTAAAATTTTAAGTAGAGTCTCAAAATGTCATTTGAAAGAGGATGTGCTCAAGAACATCTGTCTGTTCCCAGGGCTTAATATTTGTATTCAATACAATAAACTCATCCTCTAGTCTTCTATAAGAAACAAGAGCCCACTTTTCAATATTATTTTATGAGAAATTGAGGAATGTGCTAAATCAGTAATGTGTTAATGCTACTAATTATAAATAGAAGTAAATTATTTGTTCGAATATTTTATCTTGATTAGAGAATCAGAGTTTAGTAACGCTTGGAAGTAAAATACTGTACTCTTGTGCTCAAGGAAGAAAGTTCAATACAGGATTGATTTCATGAGAGAGAGAGAGAGAAAGAGAGAGAGAGAATGTGTGTGTGTGTGTGTGTGTGTGTGTGTGTTAAGTGTAGAATGTGTAGTTAGCAAACAAACTTGAGATTAGTTTATATTTTCTCATTCTTGGGTACAATAATCACATAAAGAACTTTAAGTTTCCATACAAATTACCTTCGATGATCTCTATATCTTCTCTTTCCTTTTAAAGATATAACTTCCTTTACAGTAAGCCTTTAACCAAATGCCTTGAACATGTATGATTTTGATCAGCGATTAGTGTATGATAATTTAGATATTGACCAAAATTTTGTGTATGACTCTATAAATTTATAGTAATTAATAATGTTTCTTAATTTGTCTAACATTAAAACTATATATGCCAAACAATCTTTCGGCATACTAAAGGTAACTTCCCACTTTCTATTTTAGTATCATCGTGAATGAAATTATTTATTTTTAGTTTTTTCATAGATTCAGCTTATTCCAACTAACTCTCACAATTACTTTTTATTCCTGAGTTTTCTATTTTACATAATACTTCTACAATTGGAAACACTATGCTATTTCAGAAAACTCTAAGTGCATCATCACTATCCAAAAGTAAATCATCAAGTCGTCTTGCTTTATTTTCCCAGAAGATCCAGCACTGGTTTTACCCTAAGGATAAATGAAGAAAAATGCAAAGGATATCAGTCTGGGTCAGGTGTGCATATTTATATCCTGACTACTGGTAGTAGGTAGGCAACTCCAAAAGGAAAATTTAGAAAATGCCAATGAGAATTTTTTTAAAATTAGAAATTATTCTGAGTTATAAAAATAAAGCATAGCATCACTAATTTCTTTCTTCCCCACAATTAAAAAATATTCAATTTTACTTATTTTTCTTAGCTGTGAGTTTCTCTCTTGTTTATAATATATCCTGTATCATGTCGAACGTATTTATTCATTAACTGAACAGATTTTTAGGTATTCCATGTCATGTACTACCATTCGTAGGCACTGTGGATACAACAGTAAGACAAAATTCCTGCCTCTTGGAACTTAACATTCTAAAAGGGCCACAGAAAATAAGGCAATAAAACAAACAATATATATGACTTTTGGTAGTGGTAAATTTAATGAAGAAAAAAATAGGAAGGAAAGAAGAGAGTTACAGAGTAGTGAGCGGCTATTTGCGATAGAGGATTGAGAAAAGGCCTCTATGAAGATGTTATGTATGCCCGGAGATATTAACAATATATGGGATTAAATTAGATGAGGATAAGGAAAGAAAGTGTTTCATAAGGAGGAATACCAATTACCAAGTTCCTGAATTGAGAAGACACTTGATATAGTTGAGGAAGAACAACATTTCTGTCATTTAAGCAGTATTTATTATGTGGAGGGAATTAGCAGATGAAGAGAGAGAGAGATTAAGGGGGACCATGCAGATTTTCAGGTGCCAATGTAAGAAGTTTGGAGTTTAATTTTAATAGGAAGCAATTTGAGAATTATGAAACAAGAACATGGTGTGATTTGCAATTTTAGAAGGCTGCTACTGAACATGTTAGATTTTGGAGTAAGGAGATAAATCAAGATTAACAATCAGGTTTTGGTTTGAGTATTTGAGTGAATAAATATTTTCATTTACTGAAATGGGAAGCTGAGGAAAAGACAGTTTGGAGGAATGCAGGAGTCTTGTTTTGAACATGTTTGAGATACCCAAGTACCTGTCATGAAGGCAGTTGGATATATGTTTGAAAGTCAGGAAGAAGATCCAGGGTTGAATACATAATTTGGAGTCATTGCCATATCTCTGATATTCAGAATCAAGGGATGAGATAACATCACATCAGGGTGAGTGGAGTAGAGATGAAAAGACACGTATAACTATGTCCTGGGGCAATCTAACCTGTAGACTTTGAGAAGTCAAGGAGGAGCCAATCAAGCACTAAGCAAAAGTGGCCACTGAGGTAGGAAGAAAATCAGGAGAAGATCTTGTTTTGGAAGGAAAGTGAATAAGATTTTCAAGCAGAAGAAATGTATATCCTATGTCAAATGCTGCAGACAGTGAAGTAAGATGAGGGACTGCAACTGTTTAATGATTTGGCAAGACGGAGGTCATCGATGACTTCACAACAGGAGGTTTCATGGAAAAAATATAGGAGGAAAATGCCTAGCTGACGTGAACTAAGAGAGAGCGATAGGTAAGAAAATGGATGAAATGAGTAAAGGCAAATTTGAGGAATTTTGATATAATGTGAAGAATAGAATGGAGCAATAGTTGAAAGGGCAAATAGAATTAAGAGAATTTTGGGGGCATTACTGTGATAGATACAATCTGTGTATGTGTTCGCATGTATACAAATGATAGAAATAATTCAAGAAAGAAAGAAAATGAATAATGCAACAGACAGGGATTAACTTCAAGTCTAAAGCATTTGACTAGATAGATGGAATAAAATCTAGTACAGAAGTGGAGGGCTAAGCCTTGAAAAGAAGTAAGGAGAGAAGGCAATTAAAAGAAAATTGGTAGTAGGGAGATAATGTAGTTCCCTTCTGAATATTGTTATTTTTTCCATAAACGATAAGTTTATCAGTTTTGAGTGAGGAGGAGAAGAGTATTAGATATTTGTTGAGAGAGAAGATGGTGAAAATTTATACAACAGAGCAAGAGACTAAATTAACCAAATAATATGTAAGCTGCCAGGCAGTGAAAAAGACTCATTTGAGATTTGAGGTTATAAATTTAAATGAGGCTAGTCAGCATGGAGCAATATTTTATTCAGACGTTTTCAGCTGTTACATTGCCAATGTGGAACCATCACTGAGTTTGGTTTAAACTAAATTGGAGTTTTACCAGGTAAGTAAGATAGAAAAATAAGTTGATGGAAATTGCTAGGGAGTGATTTTAGTGACAGACTATGGACTCTGACCTGAGTAAGTAGGATGGTGAGGACGTAAAGTGAGTGATGAACAGTGAAGATTTGATGAGAGTAAGATTGTTGGATTGGCAGTACGAGAGTCAGTAAGCTGGAAAGATAGAAGGGAGTTGCCAAAGAGGAACACTGGCAGTTACTGGTAATGACAAGGTCTCGGGTGTTGCCATGAATGCTGGTGGTTAAGGTGAAGTAGAGGAAAAGATTATTGGAATTATGGAGATCAAGGGATACAGAGTTCAGGAAATTAGACTGCTCATTTGTGTCCATGTTGGCATTTCTAAGAGTGACAGAGAGGAAGTCAGTCATCCAGGTGGTAAAATTTTTAAGATGTTTGGAGAGTGGGAAAGTATCACTAGGTGAGTGTTGTAAGGAAGAGTTCTTCAAGAAGGAGGAAGGAGAAAAGATCTGAGTATGGCAAAGAGGAGCAATAAATACGACTACTCAACTCCCAGGTTTTATGGTTATAGGGATTATGGAGAATAACAGATGGCACCTGTTACCCAAGAGGGCTAAGATATAGTGTTCTTGGCAAGTTCGAGATTTTACTGAGAGCCAGAAAGTTAACAAAGCATTCAGAGTAGTCGTTGAGGATTTTTCTCAATTTAATGAGTTGGCTTGGGAAGATACTAGAAAAGATTTGGGGTATTTAGGAAGGGATAGTAGAATTATATTGCTATATATTTCTACATCAGACTATGTACTGATCTATAATCCTTCCTATAGTTTTAGAACTATCAACATTCATATGTCATTTTTCCTGTTAAGTTTGCCTTAGATGCAGTATACTTCATAACAGGTAATGATTGAATGCGAAGGGCACTGTATCTACACTTTTAAGACTTCTGAATTTTATTTCGATACTAAATTTTTTAGTAGCAGTTTTTATGTTCATTGTATTTAGAATACTAATAAAAAAAGGTTCAATTTTTTTTCTGAAAGGAAAGAGTCTAATAGTGGGACTTTATGATGACAATAATATTAACATATTTAATTTATATTGTTTAATCCACAAATTAGCCATTATTGTTATTGTTCTATGCAGGCAATTTTTAAATCATTATCTTTATAACTGTGGTTTTCAGTGAATATTTTACTACCTTAACTGCATTGTGTACCATTTCATTTATTGAGGTGGTATTGATGACATTCTCTTTGTTTTTGATTGTCTGAATATGTTTTTATTTTGCTCTTATTAATTTTTCTGGGTATAGAATTCCAGTAATTTTTCAATTAATGTCAATTGTCAGTCTAATTGTCATTCCTTTTAAGATGATTTATCTTCTTTCTGGTGCAGTTGAGATCTCTTCTTTGTGATCAATACTTTCACAATGATGTTTCTAAATATAATTTTTTTAAAAACTTCCTGCTTGGAGTTATTGGAATTCTTTGGTCTGAAGTTTGAAATCTTTCAATGGTTTTGAAAATCTTAGCCATTATCCTTTTGAAAATGTCTTTTTCTTTATTCTAATATCTTAGATCCCCTCGGTATAACTTCTAACTTCTAATTGCCATTTTATATCTTTCATATTTTCTTTCTCTGAGGAATAGTCTTGATAATTTCTTCAATACCATCATTCTTTTCTCTAAATTTCTCTCTGTCTTTATCTAATCTGATCTTTTATACATCAAGAGAATTTTAATTTTAGTTCATTTGTTTTTCTGTTCTAGAAGTTCGGGTCTCTTTCAAACCTGCCTGGTTATTTATATTATTTATTATTATCTAAAGAATTATTTATTCATATTTTCAAATGTTTGATTTCTTGAAATGTATTAAACATTCATATTTTTATTTTTTAATAAATTCAATAGCTAAAGTCTTTTGAAGTCCGTGTGTGTGTGTGTGTGTGTGTGGGTGTGGGTGTGTGTGTGTTATTTTTTCCTTTTCCTTCACTGGCTTTAACTATTGGTGCCTAATTTGCTTGGGTGTTTAGTGATTTTATCAGTGAGCTCATATTTCTTGAAACTTTATCTGTGGGAAATTTATGTGGCCTGAGTTGAAGTTCAGTTCTTTCAGAGAAGATTTATGTTCACTCCTGCTAGTTGCTTTTGAATAACAGAAACTCAGGATTACAGATTTACTTTCATTTAATTCTGAAGTAGATGTTTTTTGCAGACTAGGCAGCATGGATTTGGACCACATAGGTTCCTAGGTCCAGGCTTATTTTTCCAAAACTGTATAATTTTTCTTTCTTTCCCACATCTTTATCCAAAAGAGTAACAAGAGAAAAAAAGTTTATTTTTTGTCCCCTTTTTCATGGTGGCTTTACTTCTCACTCTCCATTCCCTGAGAATGAATGAACTGCATTGCTCTAGTCCACAAGTCACTACTCACGTTGAATTCTATGACACTCTGCAGAATTCAAAGTGCCCCCTACAGTAGTCCAATATAATGTCTCTGGTTGAAATTGCATTATCTTGGGGTTCCAACTCGTTATGCAGGAATCTCTCTTACCCTTCTACTGGTCCAAGGCTTTCTCTGGCACTTCACACAACTGTTAATACAAAAACTCAAAGTCTCCTGGATTGACCAATACCCTCTGTGGCAAAGCTGGCTTTAGTACCCGCTTTTATCTCTAGATACCTGTTTTTTCTGGTTTGTTTGTTTGTTTGTTTTATTTTATTTTGTTTTGTTTTTTGGCCACCAATGATTTCTAACTTTCTTGACTACTCAGCAATTCTTTAAAAGAAAAAATTTATTTTAATTTTATGCAGTGTTTAATTATTTTAATTAAGATAGTCACTTAGTTTAGGGTACATATTCCGATATTTTGCCAGAATTGGAATCCCATATGTAGTGTTAGTATTTGAATACATGTAGAGAATCACTTATGACCATTGTGTTCAATACAATAAGAACATTAATTGATACAGAAAACTAGTGTTTTATTTAATGATATCCTGTATCCTTAGGAGACTGATGTGCTAACAGATCACAATATACAGCATTATATTTAGGAAAGATTACTTGCCTTGTCATAGATCTTATAGACAAAAACTAATTATTAACAATATGTATATATTTAATGAAAGACAAAATCAATTTTTAAGTGTTTTCGATCCTCTTTCATCTGCTGTGTGTTCAGCAGTATGAGAGCTTAATATGGTTATGTGTATTTTTAATAATAATAAACATTATACTGTAAAATCGTATTATTAATTTTCTTTTGAGATGAATTTTTTATGCAGTTATAAGTATATAATTTATCTACACCCTACTCCATTTATTACAATCACACATTAGGAGAGATATATATCTCCTAGTGTATTTGGATGAGAACTTCAGCAGAATAGACTTTTAGGATATAATTGTTTTATGCATTTTTTCATTTTTATCTTAGTGCCTGATAGTGCACCAGAAAATATTACTTACAAAAACATTTCCTCTGGAGAGATTGAACTATCATTCCTTCCTCCAAGTAGTCCCAATGGTATCATACAAAAATATACAATTTATCTCAAGAGAAGTAATGGAAATGAAGAAAGAACTATAGATACAACCTCTTTGACTCAGAATATTAAAGGTAAAAAAAAAGTATAATGTTGGATATTTATATTTGTATTGACAGATGACTACAAATATTAGCTTGTTGTTGTATTATAAATAGTTAAGTGCAATTAGTTTTATACAGAGTATGACAATTCTGACTTTTTGGTTAAATAAGCTAGGAGTTTATTCCAAGTCACATGAAACAATATTCTAGGTCGATCCTTGTCCACATTATCCTATATCATTGTGTCTTCATAATAGGAGTTATTATTCCAAAGAACTACATTTTTATTTAGTTTTTACTTTTGGAAGATTGTTAAGAGACATTGCATAGTTTGTCTCATGCACATTATTAAAAGATATTTTGTAAGTTCAACATATCTATTTTATTTCTATTTAGGACTGAATAAATACACCCAATATATGATTGAGGTGTCTGCTAGTACACTCAAAGGTGAAGGAGTTCGGAGTGCACCTATAAATGTACTGACTGAAGAAGATGGTAAATATAGTAGTGGATAGTGGTGTATTTTGAATCCATCACATTTCAAGAAATGTGTATGTAGAATGAAGATATATAGTGAACACACAATGCAATATATGAATGAAGTATTATAGAATTGTATAGTTGAAACCTATGTAATTTTATTAACCAATGTCACCCAAAAAATTTAGTTTAAAAAAAGAATGAAGTTATAATGTAAAAATCCCCTATCCTTGGGTATCAGGTTTTGTTTCACTCAACATTATATAGAGATTTCATTGTCATGCCATAAAAGGAGCTAGTATAGTCAGATTTATGTTCAATAAAGTCATGTGTAAAATGCTTTTTTTTTTAAGTTCTGAAGTCCTCTGCGCTCTGTAAAAAAATCACTAATGTTTATTTCATGGGGAGTTTTAAGGCTAAAATTCTGGTTTGAACATCAACTAATGTGTTAGTTATAACTGTGTTTTTCAACTTTTACTTTCATAAAAATATACATTTACATAAGTTTTGTAGTAGAGTCTGTTATGTCAGCCTGCAACATTTTTTTTTATGTATTAGAATTAGCTTTTAATGAGTTCAGGGTATTTTTCAGGTTTGCTGCATAATTTGTAAGATGCTATTCCTGAATGTTAATAGCCTTCATATTGAATATTTAAACACACCTTTCCTAATCTGAATAAAATCAACTTTACTACTGGGACCCCTTTTACACTGGTACCTCACCAAGTTAGAGGCATATATCATGCTAAGTAAAGTTGTTTTGAGGAATATACTTGGGTTTAGATTTGCATTTTATGTTTTATACATTGTGTGTTTTGAGATTATTCTTTTTTTTTTTCTGTAAAAGGAAGTCCTATTGCTGTGGGGGGTGGGCTTAGATGTATCATAAGTATTTATAGGTGATCTTTTTTCCCTTTCTCTTTCAAGTCTCCCTACCTTCGAGATAGGTTGCTCCCTGTGGAAATTCAGATTCTAGTCATTTGCCAGGACAAAATGTGCATTGTACACTTTTAGAAGAAAGGCATTATTCTGCATTGTTCTTATTTTATTCAAAATAATAAAGTCTTTGGAGCCCTCTTCTCCCATTTCAGGTCTCTTGTATTTTCACTTCTATCAAATTACTTCACCAAAGCATGGTGGTAGGGTGCTCTGGGTTGCCCTAGTTTCTAAATCTTCTCAGTGTTTAGTCTTCCTTAGTCACAGCATCTACTTATTTATGCTTGTTTCTCCATCAAAATTTACCTGCCCACATATTCATTTTTTATAGTTAGATTTTCTTTTTGTTCTCAAAGTAAAATTAACTTAATCAACCAATCAATCAATCTTTTCTTTTCCATGAGACAATAGTCAAATGCTAGAGGAGGTTAGCTTTGGTTCTATCTTAGATAATACCTAAGAAAGGTATATTAAGTCATTTTAGCAATGCCGTTCTGGACATATCACCCACTTCTTTATTTCTAATCTAATGCAATTGTTCTGAGAATTTGAGGTTATATGAAGGAACATAGGCCAGCAATGAATGTATACGTTGAGCGGGCAGAGCTTTTTACCTCTCAAGTCAATAGTTTCTAATTATACTATATATCCGAATTGCCTGGGTTGTTAAATGTACAGAGTCAAAATAAACTTTCATCCAAGTCCTTGGCCAAAGTCATTTATACAATTGCTAAGGAACAGGATAAGGAACAAGACCCCCTTATCAAAAAATTACAGGAAATTGAGAATAGATAAAGGCTTGAGAGAGTTTGCTTTATTGGATATTAGGAGCTCCTTGTTGTCATGGAGACTGCAGTTCGGTAGAAGGGATCGAAATTTAACAAACACATAGACAAATCATTTTTATAATACTATTTACTGGTATAAGTGTTCTCCAAAATTATTGACCAGAACAAAAGAGGGACTTTAGCTATTCTGAGGCATCCGGAAAAGTGTAACTGAGAAAGTTATGGCCAAGCTGTGACTTGAAGGAAGATGCAGGGTGAGAAAACGGAAAGATCTTACCAGCAGGGAGTATGAACCTTATGAAGACCCTTCTCACCTATCCTCATATGCTCTGTCATGATGAATTGGGTAGATTTTAACAAATTTATTATATT